CCTTCACTGCAGATAACCCCTGAGTGGGCAAAACCAGCCTTTTAAGGGTATGTAGCAAAGGCAGCATGTAGCAGGAGGAGCTGGAAGCCAGTACAAGCAAAAGAACATGGTGGGCAGGTGTAGTTGACAGTGCTGTGTTCCTGTAAGTGAAGCTGAAAGGGTTTGATCTTGTCCAAGTTTCTGAGTGGGAGCTGACTACAGCTCCTCTACTGAGGAAGAGTTGTTTTCTTCCTCTAGGAAAACGGCTCAGTCCCCTGTCAGGGGTTGGTTGTTGTGGGTTTTTTGGGCTCTAATTATTGACTTGCACCACAGAAGCCAGGTCAGAAAGGGAGCAGCAGAGGAAGTGTTGATACAGCAGAAATGGCAGCACTACCCAGAAGCCCTTCTAGGTAAAGATTCCCTTTCTAAGAAACACACACACAGAGATGAATGAACCTGTGTGAAGTGTGAAGTGTCACATACTCTTCCTTCAGAGTACCTACCAGTTGTCCCCCCCATTACACTAACCGTGCTTTTGACTACAGGAGGGATAGTTTGGTTCTTTTACACCCAAAAAAGAAGACAACCTATTTCATATTTTCAACTGACACACATAGTCCTGACAGGCCATCACTATAGTTGCCACCAGGTCCTGTGGTACCCTACACAGAAGGGATGCTGCTGGGATGACGTGCTGTCTACCACCCATCAGTAGTTCAAAACATAAAACAAGGTTTCCTTGTATTGTCCACAACTGATAGGTTTGTTCATGAAATGACTAGCTGGGGGCAGAAAAGAGACACACACCAAATACTGAAGAAAGTGATATTTGCACTCAATGTATAGAGGAAAGTATTCATATTTAAACCAAATTATTTCAGTAATCACTGCAAGGTCAGGGAGAAACTGAGTTCCAAGCTCTTTATAAAACAACTTAGAGGAGAGACAAAAGAACATTTACCTTGGCTGATGAGCCTTCTGAGATGTTTATACACCCAACCAGAATAGGTCAGGACCTGCCTTCTAGACAGCAAGAGAAAGTGCTCTGTGCTACCCCTACACCCTTCCCTTCTCTCCAGTGTATCCCATTGAGTGAATGTTGCTGCAGAGTCAAATAGCTTCACTCCTCCTCAGGTACTTGGCTCCCTCTGAGAAAAGAAGTTGGGACAGAGCTACAAATATGTCCTGAAGGGCACAGTCCAGGTCCTGGTGCTGTGGTGGAAAGACCCCCTTGTCCTCAGGTGAAGCATAAAGTAAGGCAGGATGCAAGCTGGGCTGGATTCAGACATCTAGTGAGACCAGGCTGCAAAGCAGGATGCAGGAATGTGGTTTGATACTTGAATTTCTCTTGGAAAATGCCGGAGGATTTCAGGGAATCTATGACATCCTTCTCATTCTTTTAAGGAGAAAGAAGTTTATACTCAAGTGGCTCTGCCCAAACCTGCAAAACCTTATTAACTGGCTAGGTACAATTTACCTAAAGGTTTTATTTCTTTAACTAGGGTACAGAAGTTGTTAGTCATTTGGGACCAGGGCCCTGAGCTTCTTCTGGATGTCTCTTAGCACAGTGACAACTTGCTGGATTACGTGGTGGATTCAGTACATGGTTTAGATTGATGATTATGTGATTTTTAGCCATCTGCTTCTTGTTTGCTGATGCAGGTGACAACCTTCACAGTATGGGATAAGATGAGGAAGTGCATACACCATGTAGGGCCCTATTCCCCTCACTTACACCTGTGTAAATCCAGACGATGGAGTTTGGTTTGCTTTGGTTTTGTTTTTTTTAATAGGTATTTCTGATTGACATCACCCATTATGAGTTATTATGGGGCTGTTATGCCTGGAGAAGAGAAGGCTCTGGGGAGATCTTAGAGCAGCTCCCAGTGCCTAAAGGGGCTACAAGAAACCTGGAGAGGGGCTTGGGACAAGGGCCTGTAGGGACAGGCCAAGGGGAATGGCTTGAACCTGCCCGAGGGGAGACTGAGCTGAGCTCTTAGGCAGAAGCTCTTCCCTGTGAGGGTGCTGAGGCGCTGGCACAGGGTACCCAGAGAAGCTGTGGCTGCCCCATCCCTGACAGTGCTCAAGGCCAGGTTGGACACAGGGGCTTGGAGCAAGCTGCTCCAGTGGAAGGGGTCCCTGCCTGTGGCAGGGGTTGGAGCTGGATGAGCTTTAAGGTCCCTTCCAACACAAACCAGTTCGGGATTCTGTGGTTCTGTGACATTTTAGCAACTGCAAAGGTTAAGCAGGAGAGATGGGTACACACGCAGCAGCGTGGCAGGTGCTGGTAGTTTAGCCTTATCCAGTGCATGGACCGCAGTAGGGACACTGACACGGAGACCCTGAGATGAAGACCTCCTAAAGCTTGGGACTTAATTAAAATGGACCTCACGCTATTCAGGCTTATTAATCCATGATCCCTGACCATCAAGCTTGGCAGGAGCAAAACGCTTTTGCTCTTACATATTTACACCAAATTTCCTGGGAATACAGAGACTTCAGAGCCGATTCCTCCTCTTTGCAAGTCTTTTTTCCACAAGGGGTCATTGCAGAGCAGAGCAGGGATGACTTCAAAAACTAGGTGATTTTTTCCTTTTCTGAAGGGTAGTAGACATTTAGATGCTGTTATTTTATCTGGTATTGTTAACAGTATTCATTTGTAACTGAAAAAATACCATTATGCCTTCAGAATAATTATTTGGTTGGTGCTTACGTTAATTCCTTTAAGAATGAGCATTGTTTTAGTATAACTATGTTTCTTTTAACAAAATACTAACATAAAGAGCCAGTCCAATGGGGGAAAATATGGACATTTGCCTCTGTGTTTAAATGAAGCATTTAAAAATAGGTATAGATTTCTGTGTGGTAATTAGGATAAAGAGGAGATGCTTCTGAACTGGAAATGAAATTCAGCCATACAACCTCTAAAAAGGATATCAGAAGCAATTGTCAACCATCAAACGACTGTTGACTCCCAGGTAACTGCCTCATCTTCTGTTTCTTTTTAGTTCTCTTTTGTTTGGCAAATAAGGCCTTTTCAATAATTCAGGCAAATGGTGTGATAAATACAAATAATTGAGCATATGAAGCCTAAAAATAAAAACACATTTTATCATATGTAACTTAAAAAGTAATCAGATAATTAATGGGTGAAAAACAGAGAGAAAGATTGCCAGAGATTAAGATTAAGCCCTGCAGAAGAGAATGTTCTAACTAGAAATTGGTTTAATTAATAGCACATTTTACATAATGATTACAGTGTAATTGCGCTGACTAGCAGAGTGTCATTAAATATATCCATGCTCCTTTACAACACCCTAAGGCTAAAAATAATGAGTTACATTGAAAATCACTATGCAACAGGTTCATAAATAACATTTAAGCCTATACAAGGCGAATACTTATAAATAATAAATATTTGCCTTTTGTAATTGAAGAAAAAATGACAGCCTTCTTTTTCTACTACCCTGTAGATTGTCATGTTATAATGCTGGAAAGATTTTTTCCCCTTGCGTTCTCTAGAAAGTGCTGAATAATTTATTCAAATGCTAATATTCCACATAGTCTGACTTTGAGGAACAAATATTCCTACATAAAGAATAAATGCCAAGTTGCTTATTACCAGCTTCGTTTTACTTTGCATCGTGCAGTCCCCAAAAAACTATCACAGTCTATTACACATGTCAAATGAAGTTAGTGGCCAGATTTTCCTCTGGAATAGTAACATTCTTTTTCTAGTTAAAAATTACCCCTTCTCCCAAAATGTTCATCATGCTCAGAGCTGTTATGTAGCAACAGCTGCTCCTCAGCTCCAAAAAGGACGACATCATAAACCTGATAACTTTTTAATCTGTAGGTTTTCTCTGGTGAATCAGGAGTATCTAATAAAACCAGGTTTGATTTCATATTAGCGCTATGCTGACATTTGAAAGACCCCCCAATGTATTTGTATTTAGCTGCCTTACCAAATGCAGCATCCTCTCCAATGTCAAAATAAAGCAACATGCAGAAACCTCCATTCAGGAGATGGAAATGTTCAAGAGTGTTACAGCCTTGAACTGGGCTTTAGCTCCCACCAGCACTCAGGCCTTGAAGGGCATGTTGGTGTCACCAGTGGTGGGACTGGTTGTGTGTCCTCCAGTGGCAGAATTCAGGTAGTAACGCAGGTATTGGGGGAAAGGGAAAAGTGTAGTGCTGCTTAAATATGTGTCTTTGAGTCTAGAGGTGTTCCGTGCTCTGTGGGTGAGCTTCCTGACCCATAGTGCTGGATCTTGGTCTCAGATGAATCAGTAATGGCAATAAAACTGAAGGAATTTCAGCTGTGTGAATACCGGAGCCACGAGTCTTGGGGCACTCGAGTGACTTCAGTGCATGCAAAGCAGTGTCAGCTCTTCACGCTTTGCAATGATAATGAGATACCTGGTGACATTCTCAGGCTTCTTGTTATGGAAGTAGGATGGTAATATTGCAGCATTAGAAACAGAAACTTTATACTGCTTGAGCGCTAATGAAACAAGTGTGAGCATCGACAATGGAGAAAAAGCAGTGTGGTGCCAGGAAGAAAATATGGCACTTGCTGGGGATAAGCAATTCTCAGGATGGGGGTAGAAGGAAAAGTCTGATGATGCATGGAAAGGACTCTCTGTTTTTTCGGATGATAGAAATTCCATTTGTCCATAACCTTTTATGCATGTTATTCTTTATCACCAGAATGAACACAGATAATATTCTCTTGTCCTAGTCAAATTTTTTCCCTTTTATTGAAACAGGAATGGCATCCCTTCCTATCCACAAGAAAATGACCCTTTTTTATCATTATCTTGAACACTGCACAGGAGAAGATGAAACTCTACATATATTTGAAGAGTTTGGTGAAGCAACATGAGCATTAACTTTAATAGAATTTGCAGATTATTAGGAGCATACCCCAGTTTTCTACCTCAGTCTTAAGAGAAAACTATGTTTGCATCATTGCTGGCCTGCAAAATCACTAACTTCTTTATTTCCAACCATTTTTACAGCTTACAACATCCCACTGGGATCTCCAGAGGCCACTTCACAGAAAGTGCAAGCAAGCAAAGGCAGGAATGGACTGCCAATGGGAATCTGGACTGAGACGGCAAGAGAGCAACTACTCCTTACATATCACACTAGAAATGCCTTTGTCAACATGAATCAACCCTGCTGACAGCTTTGGGAGGTAAGAAAAAGTACATATTTCTCCTTTTATCTTTAGGGGACTGACAAAAAGTTAGCTTAGGTGACTGGTATTGCACCACACAAGTCAAAAATGGAAAGAAGAAAGAATCCAGGGTTCTTAGCCCTTTGTCTTTGCTTACTTTTCTAACATAATGGTATACTAATGGAAACTTTGATATATGCAGCCACTGCACCTGGAAATCTCCTGCCATTACTGTGTGCATAGTATTATGGTGCCAAATTTTGCAATTTTTGTGAAGATCTCAGAAATAATCACGGTCTCACTTTCCCAAAATACCTCCAGTATCTGTATGCATGCAAACAGGAGAGCCTGGGTTACCTTAGGGGAAAAAATGCTGGTCTTGGTGACTGCAAGGAAGGTGTAGGAAGGTGGTTTTTAAATGCTAGCACTTTTGAAATGTTCCATTCGTCTTTATTCTTAATGCTGGAGTTAATACAAGTATGCTGAAATTTGTCCCTTTATGGTAAATTGGACACTTTGTGGTTCTCTGTGCTCCCCAGGCTGTTTGTGCCCTACACTGTCCCTACTGCACACAGCCTTTCTAGGGGTTGGCCATTGTCTCCTGCCCTGATAATCACTGTCTGTAGGGGCTCCACAGAGGGTAATGAGCTTCTGGAGATTTTGGGGTGAGACATGCCTTGAGGTAGGTAGATGTTGTGGCACAGCTTAGAACTGAGACAAACCAGGCTGCACCAACAAGCAGTTCAGCTGCTTTTGCTCAGGTTCAAGCCCTTCAGCTTGGGAAAACAGGTTAAGTCCTGAATAAGGGCTACCATGCAGCCTGTGATCCTGTGCTGACATTGCCTAAGAGTTTCTGCACCATGATTCCAAATCTGAGTGAGCTCATCTGAAAGCACCCAGCTTCTATGTGAGCCTGAAATCTGTTCCTGCTCACACAGGGCTGGTTGGGTTGTGGTTGAGCTGCACTTCCCCACATCAGCTCTACTTTTATTGATGGGGACACTAGCTGCTTCCAGCACATCAACCTTCCACCTGCACAGCTTAGCAGGACTGTCCCTTCCACAGACTTCCCACTTCTCACCCTACTCTCCTATTCTCCCTGTGGGAGGATTAAGAACAAGTATTAAAACCTGTTAAAATTTCCCTCCATGCAGGATCCCCATCTATGCCCATCAGTCAGTTGTGGCGTTACAGTCACCAGCACAGCCCTGAAGGCCCCCTAGGGCAGAGCTTTTCTGCATGGAGACTGCGCTCCAGTATCAGCATTTCACTGGCTTGCAGCACGCAGGCAGGCTGGAGCCCAGCTCTGTCAGGGAGCTGTGCTTTCAGGGCTGTGTCCACAATAATAGCTACCTTCTGACTGCTGTGATGAAGAGCTTCAGCAGCGTTTTTCACATTAAAATGCTCCAAAGCACAAGTATTTCAGGAATTGCTTACCCTGGACCTTGGAGGGGATTGTAGCATTTTGTAAAGAGCACCAAAATATGAGGTTTTTACATACAAAATATATTTTCCCTTGAATTCTCTCTTTTAAGACCTTCATTAATTTAGCCCAATAATTTTAAAGATCACACCTGACAAAGGAAATGTAATACATCAGTGTTTTTCGGATCCTGATCCACAACCAGTTCACATTGGAACTCCTACAAAGGCAACCCTATTATTATCACAGAAAAAAAGAGGATGCTTTTTACCACAGAAAAGGGAATAAACCCCCATCAGATTTAAAAAGCTTAAATATCCTTAGCTGAAGTTAAGACCCGATACTTCTATAAAGCACAGAAGGGCAGAATTTAATCTAAGAAGGAAGGTTAAGAAAGATGAAGAAAGAATGTCATCCTCTGTTTATTCACTTCTACTGGGCAATAATATAATTTTCAGTCTCACGTCTCTATTTCAGACCACATATGGCAGTAATATTGGATCTTCACCATCGCAGCTTAACCATGACTAAACAGGTTGATGAATGTCATGCATCTTATCATCATACATGCATATTTTTAAATATAATTCACTTTTGATCTGCACCCTTGTGCAGTGGTGAATGAAAACAGTTAAGATTTCTTCCACTGTCTGCCTTTAAATGTATTAAACAGCCCTGCTGTCAATAGATTATATTCTTGTACAATGATAATAGCCCAAAAAACTAAGAGGCCTTGTCAGGAATTGCAGTTGTCACAGTTTGATGCAAATGATTTTACTTGGTGTTCATCTGCTGCACAATCATCTCATAATCTGGATATACATCACAGCATGACATGTAAATTTCCTGCTACTCTGCTTTCATTTCCAGAGGCAGCAATCAAATGAAAACCATTCAACCTCACCAAAATGTATAAATAATTTTCATTCAAACATATTAACAGTCAAAATATGAGAATTTATCACAGAGCACTACGCCTTTTAAGAAGCAATAAAGACTTTACTTTTTAAGCATATTTCTACTTAGAAAAGTAATATGAACAGTAACTTGCAGTTTTAAAAGAAGATTTCAAAGTCCACACATAACGCCTCATCTTCAAACTTAAATGTGTTGAGGCTGCTTTGCTGCACCTACTGCTTGGAAAAAAAACAGCCTAGGAAAGGGTTGAGAAAAAGGGGAGCACAGTCTGCTATTCAAAACACTCCTTTCTCCACAGATTTGTCCCATGAAATAAATATAGGCATTCAAATAGAAAGAATGGTGAAAAAACAGACTGTGTCATGCAGTCTGGTGGTACAGCAATTAAGATTTCCTTTAGTTTATTTTTCTTTTCATTTATACTCCAGATTAGATTTTAATTTAGTTGAGCAATAGAGGTTTTTTTCCTATTGAATTTTAAAAGGGAAAACACCCTCAAAAAGACCTCTTTTAAAACAAATCCCATGAAATTCAAACCCACCAAACATGGATTAGCTTAAACTCCAGCTCCAACTGCCAGTTATCTCCATTTCCAATGAAAGCAACCACTGGAGAAGGTAAATATTTGCCCTAACTGCCTGTATGTGAAGTTGAATGGCAGATGCAAGTCCAGTGGGTAAGCCAGAGTGGAAGCTGACTCTGCCATGGAGGCTTGAACTCGGTTCTTTAGGAAACAAGGCAACATCAGGATCTTTTTTGGTTCACCCATGGCTTCATCTGACTGGTGCTAGAGAGAAAGCAGCCAGTGACTTCAGTCCTGCAGGACTGGCCTTTTGCTGCAGTCCCAGTGGTGAGTGGTACTGGTGGTTACTGGCTGCTCCCACCTATTACAGCATTAGCAGGGTAAAGCACAGAGGGTATTTTGTCTGAAGTAAAGGCAAAGTCACCCTTCACTCATGTCTTAAATGAACATTTTTTTGTTTGCATCAGCAGCATTTACCCTGCTGGCAGAGCCACACTTCCACATCACTGCATTCACTCTTCAGCCCAAATCCATTCAACCCCAGGGAATTGCTGAGCTCCCTGGAGGGGGCCACTTGGCAAGGCATGAGGAGAACAATCCTCTGCATAGACAAGGAATGCAGGAACAAAGGACAGTTTGCTGCTCTTATTCATGGTGGTGCTGAAAAAAATTGCTGCTTCCCTATAAATTGAATGCTTTTTTTTTTTTTCTGAGAAACAGGTAAAAACTGCTAAGATGACAGTTTTTCCCATTTTTCCAGTGAGTGTGTCTGAGGAAGTAGAAGTGCAATAACGTGGGGTACAGCAGGCTCAGCCATTTGAAATAAAACTTTGCAGTACTAATGTTTTTGTAACTGCTTTCATATTGTAATGATATTTTTCCAAGCACTGGTTTTATTTGATCTTAAATACCTTTTTGGGAAAGTCCAGTGAGCTGACTCTAATAAAATCATGCTATTGAAAAAAGGTTTAAGTGGAATGTTCAGAATAAATTACAAAACTGCATGCAAGAATACCAGCTAGTGCTGCAATAAAAATCTGGAAATGAGGATTCTTGCAATATATTTTAAAGAAGTAGTATACTTCTTTTTTTTTGGGTTCATTTTTTTTTTGCACAGAATGTTTCATAATAGCAAAGCCTCCCCAACATGAGAGGGGGAATGCATAACCAGTGAATAAACTGCCAAAGAAATAGCATTAAAAGAAAACCCACCTTCTTTTTTTTTGACTAGAGAACATATTTCATATCATTTTCAATAACTTTTGGAAGATAATAGGAAAAGTAACTCTGTTCCATTTTGCTGTACCAAAATACCTAAACTACATCATACTTAGGCTGTCAGCTTTCACACACGCACACACACACACACACACACACACTGTATCAGGCCCTTTGTATCAGGAGCTGATAGCAAGAAAATGGCATTGTTGGTTTGTCTCCATGCTGTGGGAAGTCCTGAGGAGTCCATAACAAGGGGTGTCCAGAATCCAACCAAGGCTTTTCATAGGCTTAGTGTCTCCTGTAGATCAGACAGTCAAATTCCCATGGCTGGACACAGCTCTCGGAGCAGCATAGGAAGGATGCACTTCTACACAAGCATCATTTCTCTTTCTGTCTAACAAGAGAACTAGGGAAGGATTTTCCAGTTGTGACACATCTGTATTTTGAATTGCATAGCCTGAACTACAAGCAAAACTGTGCAGATGGTGCTCTGGACTTGGCTAGAGGAGCAAAAGACATGACAAAATACAGGTGAACCTGGCTGAGCACCTACACAACACTACAAAGGCCCTCTCAGGTGCTCACCCTCTGGCTGGATTGATGTGAAGGCTTGCCAAGGTTGCTCACATGCCACATGTGTTCCACCCAGCACATGAGCTGCTCTGCTTTAGCTGCATTGACTTTGCAGCAGCCCAAGATGCTGCAGGAGGACATCTCTGCAGTCATGGCAGAGCCCTTCAGCCTGGGGGTGCTGTCCTGCAAGACAGCTCCTCCAGCCTGGCTGCTGCCCTGATTGAGTGGAGGTGTCAACTGTAGCACAGAGCTTTAAAGAGGGTTTTGATGGAGGACAGTGTTGCAGATGACAGTATGACAGGCTGCAAGGAGGGATGTATGCTTAAATATTAATCCACAGCAGCTATAATGCCAGTCCTGATCTGTTCCTTTCCTTTCTAAGAACTTCACAGGTACAAGTGACTTGTTGCCTTGTTATCATGTTCCTTCATTTAGACTATTGAGTCCATGTAGAGGATATCAAGTGATGAAGTAGAGAGAAGCTAAGCAAAGTGACCCAAATTAAGAGCCCTTAGCTAAAGCAAAAGCTGCTTCTTTATATGCCTGCTCTGCTCGAGCAGAGGAGATGACGTTGTTACATGCACTATGAGGAGCAAGAAAGCATGGACACTTACTCAGCTCTGGTGACTTTTGACTTCTAGACCTAGTCCATAGGCCCAATATTCATAGGGAAAAATATCTTCTCAGTATGTTTTAATTTCAGCTTAATACAGTTCAAAGCTGGTGGGCTGCCCTTTATCTCACTGCCTTCAGCCTAAAACTTCTATCCCCTTTCTTCTGGATGGCTTTGTGCAACCTGCTCAAACATCTCCTGTCAGGTGGAAAGGAGTAAGTCAGACTGAGATTCCTTCCTTTGCCTTGAAGGAAGAGGTCTTCATACTTCCAGGGCATCCTCCAACCTGGACATCCACCACTTTGTGCCCCACCTTCCTTAACAGGCTCTTACATGAGTGCAGTCTTCTCTAAAATCATGCTCTTTGCAATACTGACATCAGTATTTAACCAGAACCTCAGTGTGATGACCTGCCCAGTTAGCTGCATGCTGGCAGGGTGTAATGGTTAATGGGACAAAACTAGACAGAAGGATTAAGCAAAGATCTGAAGCATAAATCTTGAGTGGAAGCTATGGGCCCAAGATATTGGAGGATGCACTACAACTAGCATTACAAGTGAGGTCCATCAGAATGAATGCTTATCCATTTTAGGGTTTTGGCTGCCTCCCCATTACAAATTAGTTTGGTCACAACCATATTACACCAGAAATCAGAATTCTGATACTGTGGAAAAGCGTGGATTCAAACAGAGCTGAGGGGCCAGAAGTTATGGTTGGGCTAAAACATGACTATAGGTGGTAAGACCACAACTACTGACACTGTCAAAGAAACCTAAAATGCCTCTTGGTTTGCACAGCTTTGCCACTGGCCTAGTATCCATATTCATGATGGGCCTGGTTAACATAGATCCATACAATCCCAGAGTGGTTTGCATTGGAAGGGACATTAAAGCTCACCCAGCTCCAAGCCCTGCCATGGGCAGGGACCCCTTCCACTGGAGCAGCTTGCTCCAAGCCCCTGTGTCCAACCTGGCCTTGAGCACTGCCAGGGATGGGGCAGACACAGCTTCTCTTGGTTAGCATCTGTGTCTATTTACTAACACAGGATATCCACAACACAGGAATATCCTACATTACCATAACAACAGAGTGCTAAACTCTCTTCTCACCCTCCTAAGCTTTGTTTTCCAGTATTTAGAACAGGGTTGTTTTCTGTGGCAGAAAGTGGTAACCTTTTGAGTCTGCTTACTCCAGGAGCAAACAGGGTGTGCAAATATACAAACATGACATTTAAAGACATAACTTATAACAAAAGTTAGAGATTGTCAAATTTAGTGCTATTTTAGGTGGAGACATACCAGATCTGAATCTCAGCGTGGCTGAAGCACATGAATCCAGACCTAACTCCCACTGCTGCTTTTCCTAAGTTGGTTAGTTCTTTACTTACTGGCTTTCAAAAAGTGAATATTTATTTCCTTATCATCAGAGAACTCTAAAGACGATTTATAAAATAGGCATTGAACATTTTAACAAATAAGCTAAGAGCTGATGAGGTTTTGAGACTTGGTAAACACCATGTAGCTGCTGAGCTCTGGCCAAAGCATATTCAGTGGGGGTTTTTTGCAGGTTTTGCAGGAGTTACTGGCATTTTCTTGTATTAGGGTTCATAAAGATATGGCAAAGGCTGGCAGCTGTTGTCCTCAGCCCTGTCTCATTGCTGGAGTTCACTGTGCTGCTTATAAAAATGGAAATGCAACCCCCACCACCTAACAAACCAATCCCATAGTTTTCTTCTTTCCAATCCCTAAGCTTTCCCAGTGAATGGGTCATCCAGAGAAGTATCATTTTTGTAGCAGCAGGTGATAGTAAGAGCAATGTTTGCTCAAACCATACACAGACCCACAAAATGAGAGCCTATCTATTGCGATGTAAATTAGCCACACAGTGATTTAGGCAACAAACCTGAAACCCCTAAAGATTTCAGGTCAAATGCTCCTTCTACTTCTAAAATGGATTTAATCTGGATTTATATAGGTGTCACTGAGATCCCGACTGGAATTTCTGATCTACCAGACAAGGGAAATTAGCCATCTTATCGAGATAAATGGCCCTGATATGGTCAGCATCAGACAGAGATGTAGCTACTGAGAATGAAGGCAGCAGACAAGGAAACAGAAGCCAGAAGAGCATATAGAGCCACTGGGCTACTAGAATTGGAGAGGCAGGAGGGGAAAAACAGTGCTTGGCTTAATGAAAGGCCCTCTTTAACTCCTTGTACAAAGGCTTGTGCCACTGGTGAGACTGAGGGGAAGGAAGAAGGTGGAGATTTTTAGCCACTCAGCATCCAGGAAGAATCCTTGAAGTGTTTTTATAGCACCCAAAACTGGGATCCAAGCAATTTGATCAAATTCTGATCCCTCTGTCACCTAGTCTTGGTGCCTAGAATATCTGAAATCTGAAGGCATTTGTGTTTCCGTAATTGCTTACAGGACTGACTGCTTTTGAATGCAGTGAGCATTCCTCTGTCCCTGTGTGAGCAGCTAGAGGACCTAATATAAGACTGTGTGCATTAAGTGACAGAGCAAGGCTCCAATATATCATATGCTGTCATTTGAATAGTATGATGCTTTTGTAGGTTTGGGTCTGAATCTTCTGATTTTGTCTATTCAAATTCTAAACAGAAAAAAAAATTGGTGAGGTGGGATCCATCTGGAGACATGGAGCCTGGTCAAAGCAGGCAGAGTAGCATGGAAAGAAGTGGGACTAGATATCTGGGAGACCCTGATTTATCAGATCTTCCTTGAGGTTTCCATTACCACTGCTCCTAAAACCCCAAGTGGTGTCTGAAGCTCTTTACCCTGTACCAAAGTGCTTCAGATTTCTACCAGGGCATGAATCCCAGTCAGCATCCTATTGCTTGGAGGAAAGTGGGAGGGAATGGGTATTTGAAATACTGCACTTTGATGGAAAAGTTCCACAAAGAAAACCGCTGAATGCCAAGAGAAGAAGCAGTTTTCTTTATGGAGCAGCCTTGCAATGTCCAGTTCTAACTCACACTTTTTATGGGGAATAAATACATACTCCACAAATTTTAATGGACACTCATATTTTTATTTCAGTCACTTAAATATTTTCCTTTAAACTCTAGGAGGGGAAAGGGGCAGCACATTTCATCACCCCACATTCTCTGCTGTCTGATTTGGGTACTCAAGGAAGATTGTGCTGCATTAGAAGCCAGAAGAACCAAGTTCAGAGCAGCCTTCCTGAAGACCAGAACTGCTTCTTGCCTTCTGCCCAATTAATCCAGCAATCAGATCTAGGTAAGTAGGATCTTGCATCCATGCAGAGCCGTTGTTGACTTGAGTGGGATCTCTCAGCTATGCCAGGCTCCATCACATCACATCATAGACTCATAAAATCATAGAATGGTTTGAGTTGGAAAGGACCTTAAGGACATCTAGTTCCAACCCCCTGCCATGGGCAGGGATACCTCACACTGGGCCATGTCATTTCAATTGCAGCATGAGGCTCCCCAGGCAACTGTCCTCAGCAAACATAACCTGAAGCTAGCCTCCAGCACTGATTTAGGAGTCCTGTGGGTTCTTCTCCCTACAGAAAGCTCTCAGTTGCCCTTGGAAGCTCAGAGCCCTGGTATCTTACAATGACATTGCAGTTTTAAAGCCCAGAATTTAGACTTCTCAGCCAATGTGATACAATAATAAAAGTAGTGTCCCAGCACTGGAGTGGTATGTGCAGAAAGTGGTATTTTTTTATTCCATTAGCCATTCCTGATTTACCATAGATGATCAGATACAAGTTCATACAGGAAACCCTGCTATTGTTAATTGTGTGTTATGCTATAGCCATTGGATGTGAAATACATGCTCATGTGCACACAGTATACCAAAAGTTCATTGTTAAAGCTGCGTAATGAAGAACATTTATGTTAAGAAATACATATTGAAGTTTTCTGGGCAATGCTAGTTCTGCTCATTCAGCTCCTGTTATCCTTATGGCATCACCTCACTGTGGGTTTTCCATAGGATGCTTGCCTGAGGCAATACAGAGATTTAACTTGCTCTGGAGGTGACTTGGAATTGTTTTCTTCAGGGTTCTTTAATAGGTACTTTGAATAATGTTTTATTCATTTAGGGTTTTGTCTTTTCAGAAACCCTTGTTGGCTTTCCTAGGTTTTTTTCTCTTAAAGAAAACAAAATGAAACACATTTGGAAGCTTCAGCATGTGTCCTACTGAAGGCCATGTGGATCATCAGCAGATGAAACCCTAAAGTCCACCACACTAAGCAACCAGAAGAAACTGTAGTAATAGTCAGGATGCACAGGAGCCAGGATGTGAGCAATTCTACTTTCCAGAGTATTTCCTTGCAAGAAACAGATGACAAGACATATATGTCAGGTGATGTTTCAAGATCTAGGGAAAAGTTTGTTCCAGTGGGCCAGACTTTCCTGACTCAGGCAGAAGTGCATGAAGAAAGGGATTACCTGGCACATTAGCATGCAGTAGACTCACAGTATGCCCAGATTTGATTCATTTTACCCCATTCCAGTCTTTCCTTGTAGCAAACCACAGTCTCCAGTCACCCACCTCTTATTTCCCCATGCCAGTAAATCAGCTTCAGTCCCCCCAGCACCCAGCCCTATAGAAGAGAGGCAGGGTCAGCGCCTGGAGATCACAAGGGCCAATCTTCACTGTTGGGTTTTTCAACCTAGTCTCTGTACCTGGCACTACCTGAAGCTTTCAGAATAGCAACCATGGAGCATCCAAGCTGGATTTCTGCCCAGCGTAAGTGGAATCTTCATGAAATTCAGAGAGATTTAAATGCCTCCTGAGCTTCTGGAGACTGATTATTTCTTTCCAAAAGCTTGTAACTCAACCAACTTTAGATGGGCTTTTGTGGGAATGCCAGAACATATACCCTTGGTCACTTCCCTGCCAAATACCAAGTCTGCTCGAAAGGTGGGAAGAACTAGGTCATGTTAAACTCTTCCAAGGGAAGATCACCATTATTTTTTGAAGTGGGAAATTACACTGGAACTGTGCACAGATGGCTGAAAGTTTAAAGAGCCTTCTTCCATTAGTAATCCTAGGGCTCTGGGAGCCTGCAGAGCTTGCAAAAATCTCTCTGTGCCTCAGTCTCCCCTTGGTGAAACGGGAATAAGGAAATGTGTTTAGAGATCTAAGGCTGGCATATAGCCTAGCAGTGCCAGTTATGCTAGACAGGCATTGCTCCCACTGCTTTTGTGTGGCTGTGATTGCCACCTCCCAGGGGTAGCCCTTCTCTTCTGTGCCACCATCTAGAAAACAATAACAGGACAGAGGAATGGCAGGTCTCAAATGTGGATTCATCTCTCACCACATTTCATTTCTACCCCTCAAAGAAAACCTCAGCCCAGAAGGCAAATTCATCAGGGTACTTACTTCAAGCCTGGAGGTTTTAAAACTCAAACACACACAACGATAGGAGGGGACTGGTATTTCCTATAGCTCCTGAAAATCAGGTGCCTTGCACTGGCAGCCTCATGGTACCGGTTCTGGGAATATTTGCTTCCTACCCCCTCAAAGAGTATTTGCAGGGCTCAGTAGATGTCCAGGCAGTAACATCCTATCTTAAAATACACGTGGCATAATAAAAACATAGGGTCACAGTAAAGTTT